GAATCTCAGAAAAGATGTCTGTGGAAAGAGACCACATAAAGTAGAAACGAGGAGCATCAAAAATGTAGAGATATGACAAAAGGGTGAGGAGCATTGAAATGGACTAACCAATCATTACTTCTTTCAAGGGAGCCTACCTGTCTACTCCTAAGAACTAGAGAGCAAGAAAAGCAAAAGAATCAGCATGGGAGTAGGGAAGCATCTGGTGCCATTTTGCTCATGGCTATGACCTGGAAAGGGAGACAAATTAATTACCAGGCAAAAAGTTCTATGGTACCACAGTTTTCTTTAACACATCTAATCATTTATATGTTAATCTCGATAGGGATTTTCTTCAAAATAATTTTGAATGTGTAATCTCTGTTTAAGTCTCGATTACTGCTTTTCTTGACCATTCACTTAGCCAATCATTTTATGGTTTTACTGTATATGTTGCATGGCTCCAAAACAAGAAAACATTAACAAAGTGAATTAATTGATAGCAGACACCAAAATAGGAGGGTAATTCAAATATGGTAGACAAGATCCACTGTTTGAGAACACCTACAAATTCAGAAGAACAAGTGCTTTTTCCTAGTCCTACCTGTACATGGTCTTGAGAGCTTTGAGGAAAGGAATAAGAAATTCAAATGGTAACAGTGTAACTGCAAAAATACCAATACTAGGAGTTTCAACAGGACAGGCTCAGCCACCCTTGCAAATATGGCAATAAAAAGATGACTAATGATTAAAGACAGAGAAAAGAGAATTAATCAATATGACCATGCTGTAAATAACAGATAAAGTGGTTCAGTGGTCCCCAAAGTCCATCTCTGGAATACTGACATGAGCTTTAGTTTAAATAAGTGTACCAGAAGATTTCCTGTGTCTCAGCCTGCTGGTGGTCGGAACAAATCTCTCCCACTCAAGTCCCCCAAGTAAACACACAGAAGCTTATATTAATTATAACTTCATGGCCATGGCTCAAGCCTTTTGCTAGCTAACTCTATATCTTAAATTAACCTGTAACTATTAATCTATGTATCACCACATATTCCACAGCTTTACCTGCGTCCCATTACATGCTGCTCCTTGGGCTGCTTGCTGGCATCTCCCCTGTGTTCTTCCTGTCTCTCTCTTTGAATTTCACATCTTGCCTCTAAGCTGCCCTGCCATAGGCCAAACAGCTTTATTTGTCAACCAATCAGAGCAACGCATTTTCACAGTATACAGACATTCCCCCATCACTTCCCTTTTTCTGTCTAAACAAAAGGAAGGTTTTAACTTTAACCTATTAAAATTACATATAATAAAAGTTATCAAGCAAGAATTAATAGTTATAATATCTAGTATATTTGGCAAAATCAAAGAAGGTATCCTATCTCTCCTATATTTGTGAGTTCAAGGTTTCATATACCTTATCTCCTATCAAAACCAAAGAAAACCATAATTATAACTATCTAGTCTTCAACTACATCAAAGACCTCAGAAGGATACAATATTACCCAAGTAAACAGTAAGAGCATTGTAAGTAACTTCCAAAACTCTAGAAT